TTCATTTAAATAACCTCACTATGAACCACTCAATCAATACACTAGCAATGAAACCTATTATAACAGACTAGCACTTTTTAACTCGGACAATTAAAAGCCTCAACCTCTTTCCAAGAACCTATTAGAGAAAATAGCACAATTACTTTCCTGCACGGTGTAAGAAGTTGTCACTAACATTAAACGATTAATTATCGTTAAACTGAACCGATGCCAGCTACACTACACTATCGTTAGCGGAAAACGCAAATAGGTGTAAGTTACTCGTTTTAGATTACTTAGAAATATCTCTACTACTATTCATATTATAAATTTGCATTACAGTACAATTTATCTCGTTATATTTTAATCTTTCTCCGGTGTCATGAGTGCATTTACTAATATACATATACAAATTCAGGAACACAAACCACTCAGATTCGAAACAACACTTTTTGGATAACACATTGTTTTCCGTGTTTGAATTGAACCTGCGACACTTTGCAGAGCAGGCCAGCCACCACACCAGTCCGTACCGTGCAGTCAATTGCAAACGTACAGTGAAAAGAAATTGAAATCCTAACCATTCAAAAATAGAACTTAAATTTCTCCTTAGCTTAACACAATTATGAAAACGTAACATAATTTCTTTCTTCAAAACAATGAACTCAAATGTGTTAATAGTTGGACAGTTCCAACTCCAGTGCGTGCCTTTTGCAAATCTCCGAACCGTAAAGTTCTGAAGGGGACTAGGACCCGACCCTTTAAACAATTAAAAGAAACACACTTCACAGAACACGCAAATGAAATAAAAATGTATTTTAAAAACAACTCACATTTTGAGCAAATTAACCTTTTTTGCTAACGTAAATGATAATTCAACTTTTTTAGACATGTCTGCGGTATTCCGTCCAAAGGATTTTTTATGATATCACGCGAAATGGCCGTGAAATAACACTTTTAGGTTTTATTATGTAGACCGTATGTTTATTCAGATGAAACGCAAAATTAGACTTCAACAGTTCGTTTAAAACTCAAATTTAAGATCAACTTCCTATATCCTAAGCCCAAGCTACTTACAATCTGCACAATGTGCCTCACTATTCTTTGTCTTTCCATTCCTGCCCAGTTTGGGGTGAGAGGGAATATCAGACTCGTACTGCCTAAAAACATCCGCGTTTCTTATATTTCTGCTGCTAGTCATTCCCACAACCCTGGCTGGACTTTGGCTCTAAAGGACACCGCGACACGCCATAAGCTCGGGTTAGGTTCTGGTCGGGCATCAAGCTACCCTTGAGAGCCGTCAGCATACCCGCACATGGAACTTAAATTAACAATTATCTTTACAAAGAGGTAAAATTTGTAAGTTTGTAGGGGTAATCTTTGGAACCGCTAGTCGGATTGCCAAAATTCTGTCACTGATAGATAACTACAATGTCACTGAGTGCTATAGGCTATTAAACATCACACTACTATTAAATGGAGCCGAGCAGCGGGTGAAACCTCGCGAGAGTAGCTAGTAATAAATATGTTGTAGTTTCTAATTGCGTCAAAATATTCACCGAATACCATTGATTCTCTGGAACTGTAATCAGAAAGTGTTCATGTAGTATATTTTTACAGATAAACCCGTGCCTATAATCACGATAATGAATGCCAATGCGTAACTGAGGCGTCTAGCTAAAAAACTAACCATTGGTTTATGTGCTACGATTTATTACGCGTTTATCTTTTTGCTGGGGTTGACAACAGTCGAGAATGGCTATAAAAGTATTTTTTTCCTACTTATTATGAAATTCTGTAAAGAATTAAGGAACTTTTTATTAATTTTACACAAACCCTTTTGCTACATTCTTTCTTTTATATTTCTTACTCGCAGAGGCAATGCGGCCTGAACTTTGTAAAAGACAAGTAGAAAAAATGGCGCTTTACCGAAGATCGAGTATAATATTGTCGAAGTTTGTCAAGTAAACCTCATTTTGTCTGTCTTAATAATCTGTAAAGTTAAAGAAAATAAGACATACTATATATTATACCTCTTATTGAAAATAAATAATACATAAAAAAATGTTGGCAACCTCAGCGTCTTTCTAGACATGCGTACACGCAGGCGGATTGACTCGCTAATTCGCGTGATAACCGTGTAGAGAGATGTGCACTATGCTAACACTAGATTTACGATCAATTGTATTAGATATCTGGGAATGTTTCCAATTAAAGAGCTATTTTATATTTTTGTCACTAACGTGTGTAGGCTTTAAAAGAACGTCTTCATTAATTTTGTCTTACATGGGATGGGTTATCTTATAGTTATTCGTGGCCATATTTGGATATTTGGTTCTGAAATACATACGTGACGACATACTTTAAAAAAAAATTATTATTACAGAACCTATTTTTTTATAACATAAAATAAAAAGAAATTTAAACTACTAGCTGATCCGGTAAACGTTGTTTTGCCATGTAAATTATTTATCACTTAGTTGTATGAAAAATAGCCAGTAGCCGATCCATAGACCTACTGATTATGCATATAAAATTTGGTAAAAATCGGTAAAGACGTTTCGGAAGAGTAAAGTAGAATATACACGAGAATTTTAATCATAAATCTATTGTTTATAAAGAATCGCTTTCAACTAACCGACATTCGACACATCCAACTCCGAAACTAACAAAGCCAATAATAACAAGTAGGAACTTGACACTAGAACAACCTAATACCTCTTTACGCAACCCACTTGAATCACAAGTGGTGTGTCTTACTATATGTATGTTGTAGGTAAACAGTCGTGTGATAAGCCTTCAATATCTTATCATACAGAACGTGAATATTCTCTCAAGAGAGCATGGAAAACTGTTGCGCGTTATCTGCATATTAGATATAGGTACGATGGAATTGGTAGGTTCTGTTTTGTCCAAGTGTAGATTTACCATAAATTGCCAGTACGAAGTTTCTCTGTATACACGCGTTACACTGTTCTCACATATTCAAACTAACTAAATAATGTATCAAAGAATGTTTATGTGACACTGATTTTAAAAGAGTAACCATGGAGTTTCTTGCTCGTTGTTCTCCATCGGAATCTACACTTTGGAACGAGTGAATAGCTTCACTAAGAGGATTGACCGACAGACTGACACTTCATATCTTTAAAATTTGTTTGACGTTCAAAAGTGCCTGTATGGGTCTAATTGAAATAAATTATTTTGACTTTGACTTTGAAGAGGTAGGAAGCGCATACTGCAACCTTGAATAATAGATAAGCATAAAATTAAACTTTGAGACGATACTCTGGACAGCAGAAAGTTGTTATTGATTTAGTTTTTATAGAAATTATGCAACACATTCTTAAGTCTATCCCTTGCATAGATTTTTTTTAAACACCCTGCATATTGTTATCAAATATTGAGTTTGAGCATTACGTTTACATGGACTGGTCCTATGCAATGCAAATTTTCGTTTAAGTAGGTATGTAGTCAGTTTTCCCCAGTCCATTAGAGCGAAGCCCATTGTTTTGGCTGGCAGGATACCGAAATATTACCAATAATACTTTACTAGAACTTTAAACTGAATCTAAACTCCGTTTTTGGTCAATCCCGTTAATGATTATCGGGCCAACAAGACACTAATTAAAAATCTTTATTTTTTCCATATTATTTTTCGTTGCCCTCTTACCAATGTCACAACGCATGACTTTATCTAGTGTAATTAGGCTATCTTATAAGCTAGCACACTTTCAATATCAACGCTAATATTTGTACGACCTTCACAAAAAATGTTTATTTTGGGGCTCGGCGATGCAATGTTTACTCAAAATCCATTCATAATTGCCAAGACACAGTTTATAAAGTGGCAATTATTTTCTTACTATCTGATTTGTTTTACGTGATAATTTTATTGAAACATTAATTACTGTTATTAACGCTTTTTTGTCGTTACTTGTCAGTTGTTATCGAAGTCTAGAATGGACGGGAATTAAATTAGGAATAGTAACTTTTAACCGATAAAAACGAAAAGGAAAGTTTATTACTCTCCAACCATTATTGAAAATATCGACTTACTCACGTCAATTAACTGAGAATAGATCGACTGGTTTCAAGTCAGACCGGGACTCTTACTCTTATTACGGAATTAGCTACTCTCGCGCGGTTTCACCCGCTGCTCGGCTCCATTTAATCGTAGCGTTAATATTCATTTTTCATAATTATATTCTTATTTTGTATGCCTCACTATAGTTACTATTCCAACATTTCACAAACGTACTTTTGATTTTGGACATGAAAGAAAGACAATTTTTACCGTTTTGAAATTAAAATAACAAGAATTTTATATGCATTAATAAGAATATATGTTGATCGCTTTGCTACGTTTGTGTTAATATGTAAACAAGCCCCGTCCATATATATACCTACTTACATAAATATCAACTTATGTAACAATATTGTGACGTATATACCATCTACTTAGGTACTTGATACCTGGCGATACGATCGTTACAATCAAAACATCGTTTGATAGAGAACAGTTTTCGTACGACAGATCAATTAATCGAGGTTGAGAAGACAAACTAATTTCATTTACCTTTGAGCTTACTGTATACTTGAGGAAGAATGTTTTTTGGTGTAGAAAATGGTAGGTACCTATAATCGGGTTAGGATTTTTTACTGGTTGCCAATTTTCATAAGTACCTACAGCTTGTTGAAAAATATGTAACATATCCTTCCTGCTTCTAAATATTTGGTATAAGTAGTTAATCCTCCGATGAGGTTGTTACTGAACAATTCGTCAGTAACAATAGTTATTTTGTTTTACACAGAAATATCCAACTGTAACTCAATAAGATTTCTCCTAATGAACACAAAATATTTGATCTAATAATGCATGCTTTACTTCTATCTAAATCATAAATATAAATATATTAGGGTCTAACAGAATAAATCTGAACTACAATAATACAATAAGCGAATGAAACTAAACATAATAATTGTATTTGATAATATTTTCACGATATTTTCCCTTCCAGGGAGAGAACTCCAAGCGAGGACATGAGGTACGTTCGTAGCGAGCCGTGTATAGTAATGTCGGCTTTTATACCAATACTGCATGAATTGGTAGCAATAATTACTTTATGCGCATTCATATAAACTTTACACATACAGTAACAAGCTTATGTTGAAGCAAGAAATTGATTAGACGGAAAATCCGTCTATTTTTGTCTAAAGGCCAAAATCAATCACCGATCTCAATACTAAACCTTTTGGTTTGATGATTTTTGACATACATTTTTCACTAAAACTGTGGCACATAAAGAATTCATAATCAAAATGAACTGATGACGTCCCAAATCCAGAGAGAAGTTCACTTCAACATCTGTGGTTTCTTCGTCTAGCGAGATGATCGTTCTTTTCCTGTCTTAGGAAACTTCAGACCCTGTTCCCCAAAACAAATAATGTCAAAAACTTATCACAATCCAAAGATTTTGGTTTGAAATTGGTTATTAATTTTCGCGTAGACATGATATACAATTTTAACAAGCTTATTTTGAATCAAAGAAGAGTATGACAAAAGATCTGTCTACTTTTGCCTAACTCTGTATCTCAGGGTTGCCGAAATGAGAAGAAATGCAAGTGAAGATTTTTTTGAGTTTACAAATACTTTTTGGAGCAAGATAATTAGCTTTTGCTTCTAAAATATTTGCTATTGCTTTAAGCAATTCCGGATTCATCAGAAGTGTGAAGAATAAGGTCTTCAGTAACCATTCTTGTAATATAAGACTTCAAAATCCAAAAGAACAGGATGTCTTCGTGGTTCCAAAAACTACTGCTGCCTAAAACTTTAATTATTTGTTTTGTTTTTATAAAGCTTAATTAATAATTTGCAATGACATAGCTTGCTTACTATATGTGTTCTAACTTTATGTTGCAATTCTCCACAAATGCGTGGCATGATATGAACATATGTCTCTCTCACTGTATTTTAACATCAGTATCATAACATTTAAACATGTAAAAGTCGCCTAGATAGCAGAATTAGTAAGAAATTTGAGGATGAGAATTTTAATTATATTCGAGCAGCTTATTTCTTTTCGCTACGGGCTCTGGTTGAGTCCGAAAGAAATCGAGCACTCCTGAATAAATTTGGCTGACTGAATATTATGTTTCAGTACGTCTTGCAGAAGTTTTAAGTTTTAAAGATTATTTTGTTTTCATAATATATTTGAATCAGAATAGAACTGTCTTAGATTTATGTTAATATTGTTGTTTTTGCACAAAAGTTTTACGAGGTGTTCCAGGTTCAAGGTAGCACAAATGTTAGTTCACGCGTGTTTTCGTTAAAAGCATATTTTCGAGCATCTGTGTTTCTCGAGCACCCAATGTACATAAAAATCACTTAAGTTTGATTTTGTGGCGGTGGTGGAGATCCAAAAATATTTCCTGTTTACCAACCTTCGCCAAAGTATGACGCAAATCCGATGGTCAAAAGATACATGTATAGGGGGTTATATTTCTTTTTAAGGGGGAAAATCCTCTAAAATAATTTGGCTCGTCCTAGTTGGGACGGTAGAGAGACAGTCATACTCAAAACTGACTAAAAATCACTCCGTTCTCCTGCTCTAAACCGAAGTTTCTCTTGTCTGCAAATTTATATATAAAAAGACTAATTTATCGTTTCAGTAACTAATATTTCTATTATGAAACTGCATTAAGACAACGCACCACAAATAAACATTTGATAGTGCAGCAGCCTGAGCTCAAGAGTTTCACCGAAGTGTTTCCCATGGCACGGTTTCGTACCAATAACATAGTTTCAACTCGACTTTCTTTCCTCCACTACATCACGGTGCGGTTTGACAAAATATGCTAATGTCTGATCATAACCGCCCGGCAATGACCCAGCAATGCCGCTGTACTATAAATATTTTAATAAAATGTAAACTACTTTGTTGTTTTAGCGAAAATTTCCTTCAGAAAGGCCCGTTTTCTACAATTAAATTGGCTGTGAGGAACAATTATAATTACTAGTTGTTTAACAAAGTAATAGATTAAAAAAATAGATACGCTATAACCATAGCCACAGCACACAAAGGTTTTACATTTTGAAATCAGCTAAAGCACAATAACATAAAAATCATTGTTAACATTCCACAATACAGTACATACTACCCACTAGTAAAAAACCCCGACAATTTTTCATCCTTTTTTCAAACAAAAGGCAAAATGATACAGGTTTTCATTCCGTTTTAATTGTCCGTCCATTTTATGATTCGCGGAAACTGAATACCGCGGTTTTCAGTTATACAGACAGACTCACAGACATATTCGGGTCAACTTTTAAGGTAAATTTTCACGACCAAAACTGACAAACGGAAAAGTCTGGGAAATTAAAATGTTTTCCCCGGATATTGACTGGTTTAAATGCATTTAAATGCAAGCCGTGTGTGTGTTGAAGACGAAAATATTCTTTGGGAAGTCTTTTAATGGATAAATAAATTACATGCGTCTGTTCTAGTACAAATAAGTGCTCAAGAATTAAGGATTGGAATGAAGGATTAAGTGTATACATTATCAGAAGAAGAAGCTTGAACAGATTGCTTTCTTTTAGTTTTAGCATAGGTACTCCTTGTTTCTGCGCTTTGAGGAATCATCCTATTTTCAAAAGTATTTTAAGCGCTAAAAAATAGGAATTTTATTTACTTCACACATTACGCATGGTACAATCAGGCATTATTGTTGGAAGTACATGTAGATACCATTGTGGGAGGAAGCTAACTGTTTCCAAGCTGACAGTAGACGTGCGAACGAGCGGAAATTGAATCATTACCCTGACTGTACACATATTTGAGTTACTATGTACAAATACTTACTGATAAAAAGTTATCTGGAGTCTACAAGACACGGTGTACGCGTAGGATTTACGCCAAGGACTTTATTTTAGTCAGATTAGGCTTCTAGAAAATTCTGTAGCTTTTTCATGGTTATGCGGTTCATGGGTATATAAGAATATATATTTAGGAGTATAAACATAGTTTCAATATGACTGCACGTGCAACGTGTCGCGGGTTCGATTCCTGCACGGAACAACAGTTTCTGTGATCCACAAATTTTTGTTTCGGGTCTGGGTGTGATGTGTATGTGAAATTGTATGTGTGTAAACGCACCCACGACGTAGGAGAAAATCCTAGTGTGGGGCAATGTTTAATTTAAAAAAAAAAAGGATATGATATCATGAAGCATTATGTATGGAGATATAACAATATTTTATCTTTAACAATATATAAACCACCGATTGATAAAAAATATTAAAGAATATGGCCAAAAAAATAGCAAGCGCTCATTTAATTCAAGACAGAACCAACAATACACAAAAACAAGACTGCAATAAAACGAACACAAATTTTTCATTCATATACAAGCCTAAAGGAACTATCTACAAATAAGGCGTTTTTTAAGCAAAGAACTCTCACCTTCCGTCAATTACACTATGAGCAAAAGTATAGATATCGTTAAACCAATATATTTTTCTTCCACACCTTTAGCTAACCGAACAAATAATCCAGGAAGGCAAGGGATATAGTCGACACATAAGAAGCAACTTCAATTTGTTTGAGTAGGACCTCGCGTCAACGTGAGGCGATGTTTGTGCTTCCTCGGTAAATACGACGATAAATCGAACCCAATATTTATACAGATAATTGTAGGAAGCTGAACTCGATTCCTTATATCGATTGCAAGAAATTGTGGTTTATTTTGCAGCTATACTGTGATAATCGCTTCGTATCGATACATTGTCTTGTTTTCGCAAGTGACATTTGCTACTGTTAATCAAAAATCAAGTCTATAACTTGAACATTTCACCACTCGACACTGGCAGTATAGTCGACAATATCGTATTGGAGATTCAGTTGCGATCAACAGACAAAACAACTTGAACATTTTGTTTGACGGCACGGTTGGTGCGTTGGATAGGCAAGTGGTTCGATTCTCGCACGGAACAATTCTGTGTGATGCACAAATTGTTGTTCCGGGTCTGGGTGTCATGTGTATGTTTGTCGGCGGCGGCGACCTCTCGCGCCCGGCCTTAGTCGAGGCCATGGTGCGGAGTGAGAGGAACTGGGACGCCGTCTCCTCCTTTTGTGAAGCAGTCATGCTCGCAAAGAGAGAGGCGGCCCGCGTGAGGGGGCAATCCTCCTCCTCACGCCCCAGCAGCCGCAACTGGCGACACTACGGGCGTCGGGGATCGAGGGACGATCTCCGGCCACCGTAAGCACGGGCCTGCGGTTGGCGAGTAAGGGCAGCTCGCCGCCCGACCAAAACCAGGCCCGAGCGTACGGCGCGTAGCGTTCCGCGCGCGCCTCAAAGAGCCATTCGACCACCACAGACGGGCCCTAAAGGGCTAATGTTCAGCCGGGGTTGCGGGGTAAGCGCAATGAGGTACCGCGACCTCGGCACAGAGCAGGAGAAGGAACAGGGGGGTTTTTAGTCAGTAAGAGTCTGACACTCCCTCCTGCCCGGCCCTGGGCGGGAGAAGTCATTTGATGGTTTTCCCCTCACAAAAAAAAAAAATGTGTATGTTTGTATTTGAAGGAGAAAAATCTTCCTTTAAAATAAAACCAAGGTTAAAATAACATAAGCTTTGACAAATTAATATTATTTCAGTACTTGAGTACTTTTTACTATAATTTCTAAAGCTATGCATGCATAGAACATACATACTTCTCTAACCAAACTGTTACAAGTGACCCTAAATTTGTGAAGCACTCAATTCGCTCGGCCCCTCGTCGTCCGTAATTCTTTCCACCGGCCTGATGGACGTTTAATTACGACAATTACTGGTAATCCCATTAACCAGAGCGCTCTAGCCCCCGGTGCCATTTTCATTCGTTTAAAACGCTTTGATTGTATTATAATTGAATGATTTAATTGCATGGCGTAGTGATTGAGACAGTTTTTGCATATACAGCTACTTGTAGTTTTATTGTCTTCAAGATATTGATACTTTTATTAGTCGCTGGTAGTATTTTAGGTTTGACCTCTATCTATGTTCATCATC